AGGCCACTTGTATTAGGACTACAATTCCCACAATGCTAATTTGTATACTTGGAAGATACTGTGATATAAAAGCTGTCTTAGTTGTGGTTCTTGACTTGGTTTCTGGGCTTTTTGACTGAGTAATAGAAGGAAATTGTAGAAATGATCAACACATCATTATTTATGAAAAAATGCTTGTATTTCCCATAACACTAACAAAAATATGTATATTACTAATACTAAGTTTATCACCTAGTTGCAATCCAAATCAGCTTGTTCAACAAATTGGTCTTAGAACAGAACTAAATTCAAAATATCCTCAATCCTATACACACTTTTATGGGGATAGGATACAAATGAAATCATTGGGACTTCCTGAATAGAACTGTGTTGAACTGCACTGAGTGTATTTTTCTGTACACCCTCCCTCCCTCCCTCCCTCCCTCTCTCTCCTTATTAAAGATATGCCTTCTGCAGCCAATTTCTGTTCATCAAAAGAAGCTAGATTAAGCACATTATATCTGGAATTATCTCTCTTCACAATTAGTATTGTCTGCTCCTTCTGTGACATGAAGACCAGGAACCTCAATTATTCTTTGATCTTCCCCACAAGCAAGATAATAATTGGAAGTTGACAAAATTCATGCACAGATTGGAGGGTATTGATTTCTGTTTGTCTTGCATCTTAGCATCTGCACGGCAATTGTCATGTATACTAAAACATGAAATTTATTGTTTCATATGATGATAACTAAATCAGGTTACATAGACACAGGTTATTGGCACCTTGTTCATTATTAAGCATGGTAAGGATAAGATCTGATTACTTTTTGTTGTTGTTTAGAAGGGCTGCAATTATTTACATACATGCCAATAAATACTAGCTTGTTAGATATTGCAAGAATCATTTAAAATCTTCTTCAAAAGCTCCTAACAGAATTACTTCTGATTATTCCTTTTTAGCATCTAAAGCTTTATTGTTTTTATAGAACTTCAAATCCTCTTTGAGCACAGGCCACTAATAGCTTCTATTGCATTGAGGTGACATTCACTTCTCCCTGTCCTAATCTGTTATTCTGTTTTCCAGGAAACTTGCAAATGCCACAGTGAAGCAACTTTAAGGCCAGTGGGCTAGTAGTTTCCAAGGTCTGTGGATTATCTGTTAAATAAATTGAATTCATAAATAGATCTCTGGTGTTCAAGTCAGGCTGAATTTGGTTTAGTTCCCAACAGGGTAAACTGTTTTCTCACATTCAGGGGTGGGATTCAGATGGTTTGGACCGGTTCAGGAGAATCAGGTGCTAATTTTAAATCTGGTTCACCGAACTTGTAGTTGCAAGGACTGGCTGGCCCTGCCCACACTCCCAGGAGTCTCCATGCAGCCCATTTTGGATGCCAGGTAAGTGCAGCACCTGTGCGGAGGCTCTGGGAGGATGAAAAAATGGGCCTCCTGGAAGTTCTGGAAGTCTGAAAACGAGCCCATTTCTGGCCTCTGGAAGGCCTCCAGAGCCTGGGAAGGCTTTTTTTGTCCTCCCAGAGGCTCGAGGAAAGCCTCCGGAACCTGGGGAGGGTGAAAAACGGGCCTCCCAGAAGTTCCAGAAGTCTGGCAATGAGCCCGTTTCTGGCCTCCGGAGGGCCTTGGGAGTCCGGCGAGGCCGTTTTCGCCCTCCCAGAGGCTTGAGGAAAGCCTCTGGAGCTTGGGGAGGGCAAAAATGCCTCCCACCATGGTGCAGGAGGCTGAGTAGGCCATGCCCATGATGGCCATGCCCACCCAGCAACCGGGCAGAGAACTGGTTGTTAAAATTTTTGAATCCCACCCCTACTCACATTCCTTTTAATTCTATCGTCAAGCTGTAAAACCTGTAATAGATCTTTGGCAATGGAAACAGCATGCATTGGGAAAGGGATGGAGGCAGATTGTCTCCTAATTTCTTGTCTCTAGCTCTTGATACGCTGTACCAGATTTTAGGCCCATAATTAGATTCCAAAATAATCACAACAACAAAGACCATTGTAATACATCATGGCTTTTGAAATTTCCAGATGAATCTTGGGCCTTTTAAGCATTGCAGAATCAGAAGGATAGATAGGAGGGAGGGGGAAGGTTTCTTCCTTCACCCTGAACCTGTTTTTGATGCTTGATAGACAGCTGGTAGCTATGTCAGCTAACTGAAAGGAAGGGAGATGAGTTGGAAGTTCAGATGGAAAACAGCACTCGTTTGGAAAAGAAAGAAGCATTTTAAGGGAAAGGCGATTGGTCAGGGAAGAAAATGAGACGGTCATTGGAAAGATGAGGCTAAAGTTTGAAAGACTCATCTAGCGGCTTGAAAGCATGAAAATGCAAGTAGATAAATAGGTCCTATTTCAGTGGGAATATAACAGTGTTCCTTGCGCTTTGGCATATAGCCATGATGGCCACATGACCATGGCTAGAACTGGTTGGTGACAGCTGCCTCATAACTCACTACACTATTCCTTATGGGAAAATTTTGTTTGGTACTCATCACACCTCCTGGAACCAATTAACGATGAGTACCAAGGTATCGCTGTATTGTCATTCTCTACAGAGAAGATTGAGCTAGATGGGCTACTGATGTGAAACAATGGCAGGGTTTACACATTTGACTGGAGAATGTTCAAGGTAGCTTCACGCACTGCTCTAAGTCATGGTTCCTTTCTGCTATTTCACCATTTAGCTTTCTGAACTGCTGTTTTTAGACTTGGTTTCATTTTTGTCTAAAGCATGAACTGTGCTTTAGAGCACTATATCCTATCTTGGGGAAATGTTCATATAGAGGATGGCTAATGCGTTTTTAAAATTAAATAAAATAAACAATCTATATTATTCTGATTCACAAATAATGTTAACCACAAACCATCATTCTCAAACAATAGTGGCTTGATTCATACACAACTCATTAAGCCAAATCCATTCAAATCACAATAAGAATCAAAATAGGATTGTACATTGTACTTTCTTTTTTTTTTGTAAGAGCTTCCTTAAATGTATTAAATAGTTTGCTAGAAATAACCAGACACTAACAACAGCACATTGTTCTAATAAAATGAATCATTCCATTCCAATTATCCAAATATGCAGACTTTATTTTTTGATATAAAGTTAGAAACAAATTGCTATAGTGTGGAATAATCTTATTCCATTTCTAATACATTCTCTATTCTCCCTCAAATGATTAGTCAGCATTATCTAGCTTCTGGGCATGAAAGGGGTGTTTTGGGAGTTGGGGTGGGGCTTTTAAAAGATTTCATCTACTTCCATTCACTTGTTTGTTTTATGATCTTGCCAGATTTAGAGGTTTCTTAAACTCTCATTTTGGTTCATAATGTGTTCTGTATCCAAAACGTAAGAAAAAGAATTATACCATAATGGACACCTTTATTTATATATAAAAATGTTTACTACAGAGGAAGGTTAATTCTGACATTTCCTGGTTGTTTCACTTGCTGTTTAAAGAGGCTTCAAAAATTCTAACATTCTGGTTCTAATGTCGAACAAGCTTGGTAAAATCATTTACTTTTAAAACCATTTATTGATAAAAGACATACATGAAAAAAAATCGAGGGGACCAAACTCATTTCTTTCCTGCTCTGTTCAGCACTGTTGATCTGATCTAATATTTGAAAGATAAAATTGCTTTTCTGCCCTGATATAGCTGGTCAAGTGTTCCCCCCCCCATCCTTTGTGTCTTAAACCAATTATAGAATCTTTGAAATGTCTTTGGCAAAATATATCACAATATAAAGGAAACTATTCATTTCCAAAGATTGCAAACACAGGACATGATAGGTAATTTTTTAAAAAAAGTAAAAAAAGGTTAAAATGCCATTTATTTATGGAAATTATCACTTATATAGTATTTAAAAATAAGGGCTAAAGAGACTTTAGATTTTCCTAGAACTCAAGCCAATTTGTAATCACATAGTAGACTTTCAGTTTCTCTGATGTATTAATTCTATCTGTCTTTGTGCATTTCTTTCCCTGCACTAAGTGTTCAACAACTTAAACTCCTGAGAAGGTAGGTGTTGGATCTTCCCAGCAAACAGTGCATTACATTTAGATATCCATATTTTCTTCAAAGATCCAGCCATGATAACCTTTATCAGATGCATCAGACTGGAAGGGTTATATGATTTTATACAACTGTTGTGAGAAGATACATTCATACTGAACTATTTATTCACTATCCCCCCAAAAACAACAATATCAAGCAAGCAACAGTTTAGACTTCTTGTAATGCACTAGTGCCAGGGGTGTCAAACGCACAGCCCACGGACCAGATGTGTCACATGCTGGCCACGCCCATCCCCATTTTAGCAAAGGGGAAAAAGTCCCGATATGTCACATGATGACAACGTGACGATGCGAATTTGACAACCCCGCACTAATGGGAGGAGGAGATTATAACCAGAGGTGGTATTCAGCCAGTTCTGGCTCTATGCCATCCTTTTTAGGCACGTTTTCAAGGCCGGCGCATGCGCAGAAGGTGCACGAGTCAGCAAAGCACATGCGTGGAAGGCCGGGCATATGTGTGGAAGGCGCGTGTCTGCGTGCACTGCAAACCAGTGGTAAGAATATTGGAAACACACCACTGTTTCTCAAACCCACCATTTGTTTCTCAAAATTACCAGTTTATTGCTCTCAGGGGGAATCTAATATGAACCTTTGCAAAGTTAACCTTTCATGGGATGCTTGAAAAGTTCCCATTCAGATCATTTCCTAGGTCAGGAAATATGTCCTGGGGTATCACAATTGAAACTCAATAAGGGAATAAGTCAAATTAATTCATGTACCATTTCCATGCATGGGATCTTTTGATAAGGCCAGCTTCTCTAACCTAACTTATAGAAGAGTTCAGTCTTGCAATTCCCCAGTTCCTGAGAATACTGCCCTGATATATCCGTAGGATACCAGACTGGGAAATCTCAGAAGCAGCTTGATCATCTTACCTCCATCAGAGAAATTTGAAATGAAGTCAAATAATCAAAATAATCAAATAATCAAAAGTATTGCTTTTCCTTGTGCTGCCCCACTCGTAATTGATCTATGTGATTGTATCTTCCTTTATCGATGCATCACCAGTAAAGGCAAACATGCTCCCAGTCCATTAGTACAAACATCGGAAGAGTATTGCTTGTGTAATCAGAGGCCTTGGAGATTTGTGTTGGTACCAGCCTCTCCTTTTTTGGGCTGAGTGTGTCTTCTTTAATTTTCTTCCCGTGGCAGAGCTGTTTCCTTTGTACATAGTACATAATATCATTCTGCTAAAGAAGATTTAATATGATTCTGTAAGTAGCTTCAGGGAGTGGGGGAATGGCCAGATTTCATAATATGATATTACATTTCATATTATGGGCTATGGTTAAGTGTCAGCTGTAATTTTATCATCGTGATTAGAAAGGCCTGCAGCTTCAACTGAACTAGAAAACAAGCTGGGAGTACTTCAAGATACCCTAAACACTGCAATTCCCACTCTTCAGCAGTAAATCTGAGACTGCAGCATTTGGACTGTGTCTCTGTGTCTGCAAATGATTTTCAGCAGCAGCAGAAGAAGATGCCAAGTTTACATTCTGGGGTTTATTTATTTATTTATTTTTTAAAGCAGCGAAAGGCTACTTGGATAATTAACTCATTAATTAACCTACATTTTAATTTATTCTCTTTAAATCCCCCAAGACATCAAGCAATTAATATTACAGGGAAATAAAAGAGACTGTGGCCCATAGTAACACAGGAAATATTTAAAGGCACCAGGCTATTTTATACCTTCAGGTGTCTCCTGGGTATAGGTGGAGCCTGTGATGGAGATTAAGTACAGGATGTGAATTGCATAGAGCAGGGGTTTCAAACTCACATCGTCACAGCGGCGTCACATGACGCATCGGGACTTTTGTCCCCTTCGCTAAACCGGGCATGGGCGTGGCCAGTGCGTGATGCATCCAGCCTGCGGGCCAGGAGTTTGACAGTCCTGGCATAGAGCGAGGGCTAAAAGGCATGGAGAGCAGACACCCTTCTGACTTAAGTTTTATTTTTTTAAAAAAGAAGAAGGTATTTTTCATTCAATTTCATGAAAAGAATCCTTCCTTCCTTCTGAGAACACTTTGGTGAAACTCCATGGGTACAGTTTGGAATCTAGAATATACTGGAATTCAAATTGTCTCAAATCTTTCATTGTAATCTCTGTACTGATTTTTCAGATTCCTGGATTACTTTAGTTGAGAAGTGTGTTTCGCTATCCCCCTTTTGGTGGTGCAACACTCTGTCGAGACGTTTTCTTAGAGTTCAATTAAATACCAAGGTAAGTCGACATGCCAGGCCTTCTTCCAAAGACTTTTCCAGATCAAGAAGCTTTTGATAGCCAAGACAGATGCTAAATAATGCAATGAGTTTTTAAAAAACCACAGTCTTTTTCCTTGCTTAAGAAATATTTTGCCAAATTTGAAAGCAATTTTCTGCATTTTGGTATGGCTATTCTTCATAGTCTATCTGTGAATCTGAGCAGCTTGAGTAAGAGAGGGACCGAGTTTGGGGATGGGTGGGTAGGATCAGGAAATAATACCATGTGGGACAGAGAGATGGGAAATCCTATCATATTATAAAATAAAGCAAATTTCCCTGATTTTTATTTATCCTTCAATTAAAGGAATCAAATAGCAACAGCAGCTAGACTTTTATACCACTTCATAGTACTTTACAGTCCTCTCTAAACAGTTTACAGAATCAGCATATTGCCCCCAACAATCTGGGTCCTCATTTTACCGACCTCGGGAAAGATGGAAGGCTGAGTCAACCTTGAGCCCATCAGGATCGAACTGCTGGCAGTCAGCAGAATTAGCCTGCAGTATTGCATTCTAACCACTGCACCACCACAGCTGTATAAAACCATTTCCATTTAGTAGCATTGGTCACGACATGGAATGAAATAATAAGACTGACTTTTGCATTTAGGTTAACCATGAATTGATGGTGGATGATGTTCCAGTTCTAAGTTCCAAATCAGGATTTATGTCATTATATAAAAAGGAATCCTGATTTGAAACATGATGCACCATCAATGGTGAACGATGATCCACCTATATAGGCTGAACTGCCATTTCTCCTCTTGGAAGTTTTTGGTTGGAATGATAAACACACTGTCAGCCCTGCCTTTACTGGTAATCTGAAAATTTAAATACCTTTAGTAGTAAACTGAAAAGTGTAATGCCTTTACTAGGCTATCTGAGAATGTAATTGAATTAGGGCCTCTCCCGTTTGCAGCTCATGGAAGTTACAAAATGTTCTGCTCTTAACATATCATAAGCACAGCTCAGAATTTAAAAGGGGAACAAGAAGTGTTCTTATGATTTTATGAGTGCTAAGACCAGAACACTTTGTTATTTCCATGAGCTACAAAAGGGAGAGGCCCTAATGTAGTTAAATTCTCAGCCTACTAAAGATATTAATCTTTTCAGATTACTTCTAAAGGTATTAATTTTTTTGGATTACCAGTAAAGGCAGGGCTG